TAGCATAGTTTATATACAGAAATGTGTATGAATATATGTAAATATTGACTTTAATAAAGTTTGCTAAGCAAGGTTAAACTAGTTTAAAAAATAAAAATAATAATAATAATAATAAAAGTTTTTTTTAATTTAATTTTTTTCAAATTAAAAAAAATGACATTTTTTTTTGCCAGAACTGTAAATAAAAAAATGATGTTTATCTACAAAATAATAATAATAATAATATTTATTTACAGAAGAAATTTTTCCAAAAAATAAAATAAAATAAAATAAAAAACCTTTTTCTATATATAACTTTTTTAAAAAAAATTTCTTTTATAATAAGTTTTCTTTAAAATTAAAAAAAAAAATTTTTTTTTTGTTTTTCAATATTTAAAGATTCTTCATATCTTCTTTATTTTTATTATAAAAGCTATAACAAATCTATAGACATCTGACAAAAATCCTGATTTTCTTTAAAAAGTCAGATGACAACCTTTTAAATGATCTTAAAAGATCATGAGTATTTTGATGAGAGGAATATCATTTATTAATAGTTGAAAGACATTGTCAACACTGATTTCTTAATAATTAAGGATTTAGACTTCCAGCTGAAGAACACTAATGATTTAACTTAAACACATATCTGAAGTCACATGACATCCGCTGATCCCGAAGCTTCAGAGAGACGCAAAACCCAAAACTTATAATAATTATTAATTCAATATAATTTTATTAATTAACATGTGTTATCAATTGGTAATTGATATCAAGGGGTTATAGGATATTATTAATATGTTTAATTAACATTATCATTTATTTATTATCTTATTTTATTTTATTTTTCTTTATTAATTCATATGATCTTCTAGGAGAACCACTAATATTATATGTATATTATTCTTTATGTATTTTATTTTATTTATTTATATTGGGAAAACATATATTTACAGGTTGTATTTTCCCTTTAATTATCTTTAGAGTTGTCTGCTTCACTCCCCATTAATAAAGTTTTCCTTTAATAATGATAAACTATTAATAATCAACATGTTCCTTTACTTAAACCATTACAAAAGCCTTAAAAAAATTAAAAAATATATATTAATATATTGGAATAAAATTTTTAACCAAAGAAAAACAAGTTTAAAAATCTTGTTTTTTTTTGGAATTGTATAAGAGAAGATCTGTAACAATTATTTCTTTATAAATTTTCTTTAATATTTTTTTTATTTTTCTTTTTTCTAATATACAAATCTTTTTAAATAATTATATTTTTTGCTTAAAAAACTTTTCTTTAATTCAAAAATTAAATTTTATATTAAAATTGTTTATATATATTTTTTTTAAGTAGATAAATATTATCTTTTTATTATCATAAAAATTTAAAATTATTTTACATATAGAAAGTAATAACATCTTTCACATAACCAATTGATCAGTAAGTCTAATGCTAGCTTGCTCCCTTCTGCCAGTGATTAAGTGTAAGAAACCTTGAAGAAAAGCACTGTACTGATATTAATGTATAGTTATTCTCATGGCGGTCCTAAAGCAAGTTCAAAAAAGATACCTTCTGAAATCATAGCTATATGAATGATAAGGTGTGATATAATAGATAACTTACTTAAAATAGTTAGCAAGTTCATTGTTTCTGCACATAGTTAAACTAGTAAAAGAAGGTTTAAAACTAGTGATAGAATTTCTACCTCCTAAATAGTTCCTCTAAAAACAATATGATACACCTCAAGGGTGAATAGCATGTCACCAGATATGAAGTAGATAGGCTAGTATTTAGCTGTTGTATTATTAATAGAGAATGTTTAATATATAATAATTGACAATTATATCAATAAAATACAGTACTTGCATTTGATGCTGTCCTATTATAAAAAAAAAATATAAAAATAAAAATAAAATCTATTAATCAGAATTGAAATTGAAAAAAACTCTTTTACACTTATCCTTACTTTGAAAAATTTTTTTTCCTCTTCTCTTCTTCTATGCAAAATAAAATCCTGTAACAAAATAAGTTTAAGATACTGTATATTAATATCATATAAGACTCTTCTAACTGTTAAATATTATTCTTTAAGAAATATATATGTATATAGTACTGGTTAACACATTTAGAAGAAGCATTCTTACTTAGAAAAATATAAGCAAATCAAACCTATGCATATTAGTAGTTTGAGAAAAAAACTAGAAAATTTTAGGCAACTAATATTTTTTTTAAGAAATTTTATATATGTCTGACAATTACGAACTTGAGTATAATTATATATATATTTTTATTTACCTACTTATTTTTTTTTTAACTTCTTTTAACTTTTTTTTTAGGCAGTTTTTTTTTTCTTCTGAAATTTTTTTTTCTAAAACTATTTATTTTAATTATTGCTATATTATTTTATTTTATTACTCTTAATTATATTAGGAACAGTTTTTTTCTATTAAAAATAATAGGTTTTTTTAATTAAAACTTATTCTTTGATGTTTCAACTAATATGCAGTATATGTATTCTATAAATTTAAAAAACCATGATTAGTTTTTTTTTTCAAAAAATTGGCAAAGGATAATTACACCATATTAATCACAAGACCTTTAATATGGATAGAATCATAATTATCTTAGAACTATAATTAAAGTCTTATATAGTTAAACTGTATAAAAATAGAACTTTGATTTTTTTAATAATTGTAAACTAAGAATAAGAATTCTAACAATTCAATTCAATTTAATTTTCAATTCTTAGGTTTATATTAAAATTACTATATGAATTATAACTAATTATCATTTTTAATAGTGTTCTGAACCTTATGCAAGCTTATACAAGTTTATTCAATTCCAATTTTCAGAAACATAACTAAGAACAGGTCAAAGCAAGAAAGATTTCATAAGAAAATGCTTCTGGTTTAACTCTTGCTACAAGTTCATATCTTTTTTAATATAATAAACTCTATAGCAAAAATATACTAATCTAATTAGGCAACTTTGAAAAAAATCATTATATAAATATAAATAAATAAAGAAATACTAGTAGTAACTTTATAAAAATTGCATTCTGCTTAATATTTATATATTTAAATTTGATAGTTTAAGCTAACTAAAAGCTTATAAGTATCTATTAGATAATTTAAGAATTGTGTTTTATTTAACCTGATAGTTTTCAGATTTGATAATGTATACTAACCTAGAAATAACTTTTGAAACATTTATTAGAAAGTATAAAGAAATAAATTTATGAGATACTATAATAGTATAAGCCAAAAATATGAATGTAATAAGGATTCTAATAATGATTAATATATCAAATTATGATTGAACCTTTTACAAAAATCAGAATATAGACATATTCACAAGATATAAGTTAATATTTTGATAAAAATTATAATAAATTAAGATTAATTTACTATATGTTAATATAATAGTTATTAAAACTTATATTTAATAAAATCTTATATTTAATACTTGTTTGTAATTAAAAAAAATAATAAAAAATAAAATCAATTAACTAGTATTTTTATTATCTAATTTATTATGATTTGTTATTTTCATTTAAAATAAAGTTCCAAATTAATATCAAATAGTATTGAAATAATATTAACTTATAAAAATTTAATATATAAATTATAATTTACTATATTAAACTTATAATAAATTTAGTATCAACTTGATATTAAAATAGTACTATTAAAAATTTTAATTTGAAGTAGACTAATATACAGTATATAGACTCTGATAGTATATATATAATAATATTATTATTATTATATTATACTTTTTATAAAAAAAAACAATACAATTTAAATTTATAATATATAACTTTAAAAATAATTTTTAAATTTTGATTTCTTGAAAGGTTTAAAATTTTAATTAATTTAATAAACAAGTAATTTTTGTATTATAAATTATATATTGTATCTAAAGATTTTTATATTATTAACAATTAAATTAAATTAAAAAAATTTATATAATAAATTTATTTTTTATATTTATAATAATTAATTAAATTTAATAAATCTATGATAATAACTTGGTTGCAACTTATAAAAAAAAAAGCTAAATTATAAAATAATTGCTTATTAAATTATAAGATAATTAAGTAATAAAATTATAAATATATTTAAAAATGTTTAAAAAAATATTTCAAACTATTGTTTATTAAATTATTAATAAAAAAATTTTTAAATACATATATTCTTTTTTAAAAACATATTTATTATGTTTTATTTCTTTAAATATTTACAGTAATTAAATTTGATTTCAAGTATATAAATACTTAAAAAAATTTTTTTAAATACGTAAGCTCTTTAAATATATATTTTTGAAATTTATAAAAAAATGAAATTAAAAAAGTTTATTGTATTTTTTAATTACTATTGTATAATTTTAATATACTATATTAATTGCTAAAGTGGTATACAGATAACAATTTTTTTATACAATTGTACTGTATTTCAAAATATGAAAATCTTGGTTGCACTAATTCAAAACAAAAAAAAATTATTCCAAGAAAAACTAAGTGTCATCTAATTATAATTATTAATAAACATTATTTTTCGAAACAAGTGAAATTTTAAAGTTACAGAACAGAAATAAATATCAATATAATTTATATTTTGCGCCTAACCTTTACATTATTAATTCTCAATGAGTCTAATTCTTCAGACTATTTATAATTTCAAACTTAGGGATATTCCTACCTCTTGTTCATTTTGTGGACTTTCTATTTATTAATAATTATCCTCATCTCATTAAAATTTACGTGCTGAAACATTTCAATTACTGACAAAACAAAATCAACCTTAGGTGTTATCTAAGATGACTGCATCCTAGGAATCGTTGCTTAGGTACATACACGTTATACGTACGTCAAATTTCTTGATATGATAAAGTATTTAAAAACAAACCGTATCTAAAGATCTTTAATATTTTACAAAAACAAATCATCCCGCAATTCCACTTCCTCGCCTTTTTGTAAATTCAAAATGTCGGTCAAAGCCCCATACACCTACATTCGAGAGTTAAATTATTAGTGAATGGAAAGTGTTTATCCGTTCGTTATTATTAGAACTTTACCAATTTAATATGAGCGCTAATTTTTGCAATATCTTGAGTATATTTATCGGATTTTCTATTAATTTAAAACGAGATCGTGGAATTAAAATCCTTGGAATAAAATTTACCATTAATGTTATTTAGGACCCTTACTTATGTAATGCGATTTCCTTTTTTTCAATAAATGCAATCGCCTCATCTAATGTTAATTGCACATGGAACTCAAACCCAACATTTACGTAAATGTAAGTAGTATCAGGCCTGTTATTATAGATATAATTAATAATGTGCATAGAAGTAGTATGCAATTAGTAGTAATAGACAGAACATACACTTTTGCTTGTACATAAAAATTTGATCCTATGTCCACCATGGTTTTTAATTCTTTTAACTCGTTCGATTTTATTAATTCAATGTGATTTTTCAACTTGATACTGGTTTTTTTTAATTATATCGTTTATCAAACAAAATAAAAATTTTTTAAAAGGATACCTCGAAGTGGTATCATATCTTAAGTGAAATAAAACTTTACAAATCGGATATTTCTTCATAAAGTTTCTCACGAAGGTCCCACGTTTTTTTTAAGTCTACTTCCAATTTATCATGTAAAAAACTTTCATATCTCGCAATTTTTTTGGAAATTTCTTCTTTACTCATTGTGTATTAAAGTTATAAAAAAGCTTGTAGAGATTGTCATATATTTATGGTTCTAACTACAATCTAACTGGTTCTTATAAACCAATAAAAAACGCTTATATGTTACTGATAGTATCATCGGAGTATATGATTTTATAGCTTAAAAAATATATTAGCAATTAATAAATCTTGTTTTCTAACTGTATTAATTTATTTTTTCTTTTCTTGATAAGGAATTCATGTAACTTGTTTTCCTTATATAATACTAGTTAAAAAAATTTTTGTTTAAAAATTTATAAATTATATAACTAGAAAATATGAACCGTTAGGGTTTAAAGCATTATTGTTTAAAAAATGTATTAAATGTCAATAAATAAATTATATTGTATTATATGTTTAATAAATTTGAAATGCAATTTGTTTTAAATACATTATATAATTGAAGTATTAAAAAAAATTATTATATAAAAAATCATCGAATATTAAAAATGTAAAAATAATTATCTTTTTTCTTATTATCTTTCTTAAGTTTTATACTTTGCTTCGAATAATAAAAAAAAACAATTAATAATAATAATATAATAAATTTTTTTAATATATTATATAATTTATATTCTAAAATATACATATATATAAAGATTACTTATAAATTTATAGTATAGTAAGTTATAACCTATATATTAAATTTATTATAAATTAATATTATTTTAGCATCAGTTCAAAATCCTATTTGTAAATTAATAACATAATAGGTAAAATTATAAATTAATATTAAAATATCAGTACCATCTGGCAAAATATATTATTTTAAATTTTCTTTTCAATATTAGTTATATGGTTACTATAAGCAAGCTAGCATTTAACTTATTATATCAACACATGAGATATGTTATTTTTTTCATGATGTATATTATGTCATATACAAATTAGATAAAGAAATGAAGTTTACCTACTAAAAAAAAAAAAATTAATATTAAAATAGTATTGAAATGATATTAATTTATAATAAATTTAATATATGAATATAATTTATTATATTAAACTTATAGTAAATTCAATACTAACATGATATCAAAATAGTACCATTAGGAATTCTAATAATAAATAATGTTTTCAAATTTTCAAATACATATTTTTAGTTTAATATTTATAAAAAATATATATATAATTTTTATTTATATATAGATTTATCAGTTTTTCTATATATAAAGTATTTAAATATTTAAATATTAATTATATAAAATTAGATTATATAAAAATAAAACCTTTAATTTTTTTAATAATTACAAGTTAAAACAGATCAAAGCAAAAAAGGCTATATAAAATAAGGTTTTTGATCTAACTTTATAAAAGCTTACAACTTCAATTAATATAGTAAACTTTATAGTATAAAAAATATTTTAACTTGAAACTATATTAATAAACTAATAATAAAAAATATATTTAAAAAAATTATTTTCAAATAGTATAAAATAAATATTTATAATTAATTTGATAAGCAAAATAATTATTAATTTAGTTTTAAATAAATTCAAATTATTATTCAATATCCTATTAAAAAAAAATAATATTAAATTTAGTTTATAAACTAGCGGTAGAATTTTCTATCCCCTAAAGATCCCATCCAGGGTGCGGATCCACCTTCAAGGTGTTCAATTGGTATACTGGATAAGTCTATAGGTATAGAAGTGAGATTAACTTAAATGGACCTTTTAGTGTATCTGTAATTGGACATAAATTACTCAATAAAATACATATGCATAAAGCATCTTTTACCTGAAAAAAAATAATAATAATAATAATATCAAATTACTTTTTTCAAATTTTTTATAAAATTTGAAAACATTATATTATCTCTAACAGATATTAAATAGAAAAAAGTTAAAACTATTAATTTATAAAACTTCCAATCATTTAAATATAAATATTTTTAATAAATTCCTAATAATCTTAAATAATAATAAATTTATTAATAGTCACAGGACATTTCCCTTAATCAAGACTCAAAATGTTATTTTTATAATACAATTTATATTGTGTGTAACAACAACGGGAGGGAAATGTCCCTTAACTGTTAATAAAAAATATTTAATTCAGTAATTATATTATTGTTTTAAACAAACATTAGTTATCTGATATTTTAATATTTATATTGATTATAAAAATTGTAATATGTTATAATTAATTTATATTTTATAAAGATTATTAATATAATAATAATAAACAATTTTTTTAATAAGGATTTTGTATTGAATATTTATTTATAATAAAAATAAAAATAATAAAAATAAAATTTATATTTATATATTTTAATATATATAAAATAAGTTTACTTATAAAGATTTTATAAAATATACTATTAAAATATTATTTAATTTAAGTTAAAAAAAAATTATAAAAATTAGTAAAAATTATTTTAATATATATATTTATTAAACAAAACTTATAAAATAAATAAAATAATTTTTTTATAATTTTTAAAATTAATTTTACAACTAAAAAAATAAAATATTTAAATAAATAACTAAATTATTATAAAAAATTATTATAAAAAAAAATATTTTCATTTATAATTTATATCCAAATTTTTATATTAAATTCATAATGAATTTTTTAAAAATTAAATATTTTCATGATTATATTATTAAAAATATATATTTAAAATTTTACTTCAATTGAATAATTGTTTATTAAAATATAATAATAAATAAAAATTTATTTATTTTCTTGACATCTTATATATATAGTCTAAACTAATAATTAAATAAAAATATGTATTTAATAAAAATTTTTATCTTATTATTCTCATTTAAAAAGAATAATTATTCTTATTTTACCTAACTTTTATAATTCAAATAAATACTATAATTAATTTGTACTAATCTTTAGATCACTAATATAGATAAAACTATTAATATTCTTTTCAATTACATGATTATACAAATCAAGAATACAATCCAAAATACAAACTTTATATCTTTTATTACTATTATTATTACCTAATAAATTACATACATGTATATACGATTAATAATATAACTGGTAGTTAACTATTATTTACCATTTTTTTTGAGTTTTTAAAGCTTCATATGTATCACTTGAATTTTTGGCAGCTTGTGGTTTACTTTTTTTATAAATTATTAATATAATGTTGCAACAAATGATTTTGTATAATATAAATAAGTATTATTATATTAGAAGAAAAGTCTACTACATTCGATAACCTTTGTTACATTATCAAATCGTTGCTTAAAACGATTTTTATATAAAATACATGAAATTTCATTCATAATTTTTTTGTGCTAGTTAAACATGTTGATTAAAATATTTAGAATTCGCCAAAAAACCGTTTCTACTAACTTCAATATGCATAACCTCAAAGTTAAATGAAAATCGCATTTATTGTAACGAAACAAATCCGTTGTTATATATTATGTTCTCAGAAACGTTCTGATATCGGCATGTGATTCACAACTGATGAAAAATTAATAACCTTAATTAAATACGAATCAAATGATCAAACATGAAACATTACTTGTGCGAAATGCGTTACTTACATGTCTAATGTTACCTCATGACCTTAAAAGTTATTCAACTGGCTATTCATAGATATTAAATCAGAAATTATAATATCATTATAAACTTTTTAGAGATCAGTTTCTTTCCATCAAATTTTTGGCTCGACATTTTCTTCCACAACCGCTTGTTGCATCAATTCTCCTAAAGATTTTTCGAGAGTGTCGATTCGTGAACCCATTTCGTCCACTATTTAAAAAATTTAAATTGATAATTAAGGAACGAAACCTTCATGAGGTTGTGATCTCTATGTTAAGACTTACTTTTTGTGATCAGCTGTGTTGAAAGATCATCAAACTTTGTTTGCTAAAAGAGAATGTAAGAGGATAGAATGTAACAGGATTCGTTTTACCAAAAAACAAAGATTGATATAAGTACCAATTGTTGAAGGACCGTTTCGACCTTGAATTAAAAGAAAAAAAAAAGTTTTAAATATGATTACAGTGGAAACGAAATAAAAGTTCGTAATGCTACTTACGTATACCGTTAATTCTTGAGGCGATTGTATGTCGGCATTTTCTTCATTTGTCACGGATTCTGGCTGAGAGGACATCTTGGTCTGGATTGAAATTGACCAATTGAACTGCATTAACTTGAATAAAAACAAAAGGCACGTGATATTGTACGACATAGTTGTTGACACTCATATTGACTGTATTTAATTTATTTAATATAATAAATGTGAACCGTTTTTTGTTATATTGTATAGTGTGACCAATATATATATATATATAAGCAATATGGAAATATATAATTTTGGTGAGATGATAAAAGGGAAAAGTAATAATAATAATTACAAATAAAGAGAAGTTTTTCCAAGAATATGATAATCAAAAAGGCAATAGGTTTTTCAAAATATATAAGATGTATAAAGATATACAGAGAAAAAAAAAAATATGTATATATAATGTTATGTATATAAAAAAATCGGGGAAATACATTCCTTATAATTATATAAAAAAAAAAATATATGTATTTGAGATGCGTATAATATATAAAACAAAAAAACTGTGTAATCAATTATAAACTATAGCTTTAATATAAGAGCACGTGTAAAGTGTGTCAATAAAAGTAATAGCATGATAAAAGCATCCGAGATAGGAAAAAAAAAATGCACAAATAAATCACCTTTATTTGTGCAAGTCCAATTACAATTATTTTGTTTCGCATTCACCGTTTTCTACAGTGTTCTTTTCACCTGATAAAGCAAACAAAAAATTACAATCGATCCATTTGAGGTTATTCGTCAATTATCGGGATGTTTATGTGTACCATTAATATTTTGGTTTTCATTCTCGTCCGTTGCTCCACGTGAAGCCGCGATCGAGGAATCCACGCCAGAAACTCCAGAAGTATCTGAAGCCGAACCTGTAGTCGATGAAGAATGGCAAGAATCAGATGAAGATGATCTAGATGCATTGCCAGGTCCATGACTCTGTGGGTGTTGGCTGTGCTGAGTGTGATAATTATGATGACTATGTTGATAATTAAGGTGATTCACGTGATTGTTGTTACTATATTGCCCAATACTTGAATTACTTGATTGAGAATGGTTGGGAACCACCACCCAACTGCTTCTTTTCGTGAATTCAGTGGATGGGGAACCATGAACAGCATTATTTAAACCGTGCCCATTCACAGAATTAGAAGATACTGAAGACGATAATGACGAAGGCCCATTTCCCAATGACATGTTGGAATTCGAAACCTTGAACTCTTGATGAACACCACCACCACCATTACCGTTGACACTATTACCATTAGTACCATTAGTGTTATTATTGTTGTTACCATTCGAGAGACTACTTCCACTCCATGCAGGAACGGATCCACGTCTCACCAAACCAGGATTTTCGGTGGTAACTGTCGGCACTGAAGGAGGAACATTATTGTGAAATCCTAGGTGACGAGGTAATGGTGGCAAAGCAAGTGACGCCCTACGAGCATAACCCAAGGCAGCAACCGCAGCGGAATGTGCAACACTTCCAATAGCGGCAGGATTAAACGATATGCCTGAGATAGGAGGGGGTAAGGTTGAAACAGGTGTGGCGGGTAACGATTGTGTTGATGGGGGAGGCGGAGGTGGCGGATATGCCGTGTAATGATAAGCGGACGGTAATGGATATTGAAATGAATTTGCAGGAGAATCATGAGACATTCGTCTCATAAGACTTGTAATCTTATGAGTTGGTGATGGGGCTACCAAGTTTTGTGGTCCACCTCTATTATTTGACGGTATTGACGATGGTATTGAAGTTGTGGAGTGGTATGGAGAAGGCGCTGCATTTCGATACGCATGATCTTCCGGATTGATGGGCTTGGGGGATGAATGTCTTTGATGATATTGTTGCAAATCTTCTGATAAATCACGTGCCCTGCCAAGTAATGAGCCACTACTGTTTGCACGTTTTATGGTCGAACCTAGACTCATTGACCGATGATGCTGCGATTGATGATGAGGGTATGGCTTGTGTAAGTGATGGTAGTGTGGATAATGTGTGAATGGAGAGTTCATTGGCGAGCCATTTATAGGGGGATGCGATCCGTTTGAAGTAGATGTGAATGAGGAAGGTGACGAACCCGATAACGGTGGTGGTGGTGTCTTGGGCAAATGTGTCGAATATTGTTGAGGAGATGACGTTAATGATGATTGATATGAAATGTTCAACGATCTTGTCGAAGAAAAACTATTCTCCCTTCTATGACTACGATGCTCTGATTGATCTTCCTCTTTCATGGCCTTTGATCCTCCTCCCTTGCTTGTATTTGTGTCATCGGTAGAATGCAAACGTCGCGTTCGTTTATACTGTATATTGCTAATCCCATTTGGATACCGTATATTTTCGTATATGCTCCCACCTGGTCTCGATCCGTCTTCCATTGTCCAATGTTTGAGTAATTGATCGCCATATCGTTGTAATTCTTCCACGGTAATTGCTAGGCGAAAGTCATTCAACACGAGAAATTCTAATTCGAGCTGATTCAATTCCGAGACCGGTAATCCTCCAACCTAATGAGTAGTGAAAGGAAAAGATATGGCAGATAACCAAGGAATTTGAAAAACAGAAAAAATATATATTAATCCAATCATACATTAATAAATCAATGAGTAAATTGAAATATTATATAATTAGTATGATGCGTAAGTGACCTCAGGAGTAAACACAAGCAATCCGTAATATATATATGCACTTTTCCTTTTCAACAAAAATGATGATACATTTATACTATATATTCCACCATCAATAAAACATGAATCGAGACGGATTCACGTTGTTGAACTTGATGTGTTTCCAAATTTCGTTTTACTAGTGAATCTGAATTTGGATCTATTAACTTCTGCATAAAAATAATGAAATCATCATGAGCCCTCAAAGTTATGGAATTTAAGAGATTACATGGGTGCCTATATTTTTCATCATGCCCAATTGAATTCTGTTGAGAAAAAAGGCAATGGAGGTTTCTCTACTATCATCATACTACTACAAAAATGAAACATCGTAATCACGCTCTTTGTTGCCGGTTGTCCTTTACCATACCTTTGCGTATCTCGAGTTTGTAAAGAAAACGTCAGAGAAGAATTTGGAAGACACCATGATGCCGGCAATTATCAGACGATGGATATTGAAAGAATCGATAGAAAAGGCTTTCCCTGAGTTCGTTGCGGAAGCATTCTTTGACATCCGATCAAAATAAACCAATAAGGAAAGGAAACATTCATTTGTTGTTGGACAGTACTTCAGTATCCGCGAAAGATAAGAATGAATATCTATTGAAGGAACAGTACGTGCGTGAAAACGCGTGAAAGATGGAGTAGTGGAGACCGTCGATACTGAGGACGAGGTTGTTTCGGAATGACTAACGCTATGCGTGGATTTTAATTGGTCATTAGCGCTCGTAATCTTTTCCAACAGTGAAGCAAGCATCTTTAGGGTGTCAGCAACAGGGTAGTTAGCCAAATCCAGTTTGTGCATCATGAATAAGATTTTATTTTATTTCCTTTCCAAAAAATGGTGAGGCTATGGACTTCTTGAGTGCAAGTTAAATAAACGATTATTAGTTTATGAAATGTATGAGATGTAAGATTGACAAGATTATAAAGAAAAAAAAAAAATTCTGGCGAGTTTGGTGAGAAGAAAGTTTTGCTATTTAACCAATAAAATTGTCTTTACTGGCGTCAACACATATCAAATACGTATACCTATACGTATCAGAGTTGAGCCACCCCCAGCTTGTAGTGTTGTAGTGCGTATGACTGTATTGTCTAGTTGTTAATTCCAGTTACACACTCATGTAATTCATCTACACGTGATATATTCCAAGATTTTTAAGGGGTTCAAAGTGTTTATTTGTCAAAACAGATTATTAATTACTTTTTGTTTCAAATTTAATTTAAATGCAATGTGCAAAGAAACAAATATTTTTTGTTCAGTAAATTATGTGATTCGTGATATTCAATAAATTATATTGCCTTAATGTTTCTAATTATTATTATTGGTTTTTAATAAAAAAACAATTTCTTAAATAATTTATTATTATTATTATTATTTATTTAAATAAAATTTTACTCACTGTATTTTATATGGGTAATTATTTTCGAAGGTGGACCGGAAATTTTCTGGTGTGATCCTAAATTTATATTATATAAGTATTGTTTAAAAGCTGAATCTGAAAAAATCATACCTAGCATTTCTGTCGCCTTCAAAAATAATTATCTATATTATTAACTAGTTTATATTTTTAATTGTTTTTTTTATTTTTAATTAATTCGAAATAATTTTAATGATTTTTTTTTTAAATAAAAATATAAAATTATTTTTATATTGTAATTGTTTTTTCTATTATTTAATTTTTAATTTATTTTTTTTTAATCCCACAATCAGTTTTTTTCTATTATTTAATTAATTGTTTTTTTTTGTTATTATTTATTTGAAATTTCTTATTTATTTTTATTTTTATTAATAGTAACAAATATATTTATATAATAATGTTTTATTTATTTTTATAATTAAACAAATATTTATTATACTTATTTAATTTTTAAAAAATATATATATAATTGTATATAAATATTTATACATAAACTATTTTTATATACTTAAATATTTATCTTGAATTTTAATTTTGTTATTAATTTTTTTTATTCTTGAAACTTTTTATATTTTGAATTTCAAATAAATTTTTAGAAATTTCTATATTATAAATATAATATTTTATTAAAAAACTTCTCTAATCATAATTTGATAATATTTATTAATTAAAAAATATTTATGTATTTAAATAAGATTGGAATTATAAGGCAAAAATTTCAAGAAATTTGATATAATAAGATTTAATTAGTAAATTCAATATAACAAGTTAAATTTACTATAAATATTTCTATATTTATCTTTAGTATAGTAAGTTTTTATTTAATTTTTTGATATAATGAAGTTCAGTATAATGAGATTTTTATTATATTAATAAAATAATTATCACACTTTATTAATTTTATTATATTTTTACTTATAAAACAAGATATAATATGACATATATCTTTTTTTGTTAGAAGAATTTAATATAAAACTTATATAAAATAGCTATATTTTTGTACTTTTTGGTACCATTTAAGAAATATAAAAAAACAGAATTTCAAAAATCTATATTATTGCCACTAATTCAAATTAGATTATTTGATTATCAAATTATAGACAATTAAATTCAAATTTATTAATAGAAGTTTATGCTGAAGTTTTGTTGTTTGATTCAATTTATATTATTCAACATTTAAAAAATACACAATAATTTTGCAAAAAAAAAAATATAATATTTAATAAAAATAATTATTTGATAATAAAATCATTTGGTAATAAAATCATTTGTAATAAAATTATTTGACAAAAAAATATTTTTAGTTAAAAACTATTCAGCAATAAAGTTACAATATTCTATAATAAAAATTATAACATTCAAAATAAATTTTTATTATTTAACTATAAAGTTGACAAAATAATTTAGTATTATATATTTTGGTAAAATTAAATTATACATTTTATAATAATATTCAACAAAATTTAATTTACTTAATAAATTTATTAAAAATGTAAAAAATATATAATTTGAAATAATTATTCACTAATTCTTTATTAATTATTTGCTTATTTTTTACTAATTAATTATTAATTAATTATTCAATAATTGTTTGCTTATTGTTCACTAATTATTTACTTATTATTTACTAAATTCCTCTTGAATTTCTTTATTCAAATCTTTCTACTCATAATTATCTTTTTTTTTTATTGATTTTATCATAATTCTTATAACTCTCAAAGATTTTATAATATTGAATTTTCTTTACTTTTAAGTACTTTTTAATAGTTTTTATGATTTTTGTACTTCTTATGCTTTTTATGATTTTTTTTTTAATTTTTTCCTTTAATATTGTCTTCTGAATTTTACTTATTTATGCACTTTCTCTAGTTTAATGCTTCTTTCTTTCTGAATATATAAATTATTTCTTATAATCAAGGATTCTTTATCTTTTATATTTTTTTACTAATCATTTATTTTTTTTATTTTGTTTTATTTTTTGCTCTTCAATCTTCAATTTACAAGTCTAACTTAACAAGTTTTCTAACAAGGTTATATTGTAATAATAAGATTTACTATAGTTTTGCTTACAAGTTAGTTGAAATGGTTAAATCGATTTTAAATATTCATCTAAATTTTTTAATAAATCTTTTAACTATAAAATAATTAGTAATGAATTAATTATTTAGTATAAAATCATTTATTAAAAAATATCTCATCAAAATGTCAAATATAGTTATATATACTATATATATTTTTCTTTTATTATTATTTTCTGAATCAATTTCACTTTCTTCAGCCAAATAGACTCTTGGTTCTTTAACTATATCAATCAATTCCTTCCAATATTTTATAATACTTTTGAACTTTTTGTCAATAAATGACTATACATTTTTATTATTTGATAAAAATTAATATAAGTAATATAATATAAATATCAATTCATTTTACTTTATTTAATCAACTATTTGTATATAAGTGACAATTGTTTACATCTAGTTTTTCTGTTTATATCTTTTGATATCTTTCTCTTTAATGAAGATATAAAGTGCCTAATTAATTATTCAATTGCTTTTGTGATGAATTAAAATGTGAAACCATTAATTTTAATAATTTGAATATAACTTGCTTAATATTTTTTTATTTATATCACTTGAAAAAACTTTATCTATTCTTAGTTGAAGTTTTTTAGAGATAGTTTTCACTAGAACCTTTATTTCAGCCCTTGTCTTCTTTTCTTTTTCATCTTTAGAAACAGTTTCTAAAGGTTTGGCCATTTCTATTACTTTACTTTTTTAATACCTTTACTTTTTTTGATACCTTTACCTTTTTCTTTGAGTTGAATTCTTCAACTCTTTAATATATTTATCATATTTTCAGAATTTGAAATTGTATATTTAGCTTCAGTTTCAGGCACAGGTTTGAATTGGTATTTAAGTTTTAATTGGTATTCAGATTTGGATTAATTTTGAGGTTTAGGTTGGTTTTGAGATTCAAATATTACTTTTGTAATTTCTATAATTACTATTGGTTATAATATTAATTTATATAATTTTAATCATTCATTTTTCTTTTTTAGATATTCAATATACTTTTTTTGCTAATTTGATTTATTGAAAAATAGTTTATTTATTTGTTTTATTATAACTAATTGTGCTTTCAAATCAGTATTTACTTTTTCTAATTTATTCATCTTTGTACATAACCCTTCATTTTTTAAATAAATCAACAAATTAATAAAAGTAAAATTTATGATTCAAAAATAATTTAAATTGTACATTTTTCTATTTCCTTCCAAGTTCAAGTCACAAACTTTGATTCAGGAGTTGATATTAATGCAACTTTAGTCATTAAGCTTTTGAGTAATATAAAAAATGGTCTTTTTTAAGCAATTCAACTGTTATTATAGAAATTGAATCTTCAATACTAGATGTTGTTGCATGTTCTTTTGATATAACAAATGAAAATGATTGTTGAAATTGTAAAGAATGTTTTAAAGATTGTGAAGGTAATGAATATTGTAACTTTTCTTTATAAATATTTTTATTAAATAGTTTTTCTTGTTATTTAGATATTTTGACAAAAATTAAATTTGATTAAATTAATAAAAATATTTATATAAAATTTTATACGGTATATTGTTTTATTATATAATTTAATATTTATTATATTATTATTTGTATTATTTTATATTATTAAAATGTTTTTTTGATATTTTTATATTAAAAATTCATTATTTGATATTATTATATTTAAATTTATTATATTATATTCGTTATTTAGTCTTATTGAATAAAAATTTATTATATTATATTAAAATTTGTATATTATATTAATATTTGTTAACATTTGACAATTTGAAGTTAAATAATAACTTTTGTTACTTTATATTTAATATTTGTCAATTGAAATAGCAAAAGTATTTAATCTTAACTTTATTTAGCAAAAGTTTAAAAAAAAAATCTCCAAAAATAAAAGTTATTTGCAACTGTAATAAATACAATAGATTGCTTGTTAATTCACAAACAGAGTTTTTATATAGATATCAAAAAATAAAAACAAAAAACTCAGATTTAGGATTTTGTTTGTTAGAGTTACAAATATTTAGAGAGTTAGTAAAGCTTCAAGTATAAAAACTTTATATAACAAGAGATAATTACCCAATGGAAAAGATAAAGGACTTATTTAGATTTTGTAAGTTAAGAATATTTAAAGAATTAATTGAAGTAGAAAGAAGATTGTTTTTAATTTTTGAAAAAAGAAATGTATTGAAGAAGACTTTCATGTCTAAGTCACTTGAAATGGAAAAATTCAAATCAATTGATATAGATAAGTTATTATTAATAATTAAATTTGAGTATAATAAATTTTGATTGAAAAAAAATAGTATGGTATTTGATTAGAT